CTACTGTTTTGCACAAGATCATTATTAACCTCTAAATTTGCCAATAAATTTACAATTCTTCTTCAAATAAGACACCATTCTTTTGATGATTGCTTGCAAGCTGAGAAGATTAGAGATACTGATGAGGTAAAATAATTTTCAATGTTGTAATGTTCATATGTCAAGTTAGACCAGGGAAATGAATTTTCAGTACCTAATAGTTTAACAGTAGATCCTAATACATAGATAAAACTGACCGTGCTTTTGAAATGTGCAGCATTAGGTTAAAATGTTAAATTGTAAAGTTGAAGTCACCATAATCTTACCAGGCAATAGGGCTGCTCTCTCATTATAGAAAGACAATTGGCGGTTTAACCAGAGGGTTACCGTGCCTAATGCGAGGGGAAATGTTGAGAAGGAGAGTCCTTCCTGCTAACCTAGACGGATACGGGAGTTGAACCCATGCTGTTGGCATCACTCTGCATTGCATTCTAGATGTTGAGCCAACTGGCCTTGGGTTGAGGTTTTGGTTTGGCTTGAATACTTGCCGTTAAATCATAAAAGCATGAAAATGTTTAGATAGTGAAGAATGACTGACTGACTCATTTTCTGGATTTCTTATTTTTAAAAAAAAATCATACACTGAGTCAGTTATACAGCACAGAAACAGACGCCTTGGCACACTCATCCATGCCAAAAGAGTTCCAAAAGAGGCCATTGGGCACATCATGTCTTTAAGTGAGCGTCATTACCTAGTGCCAATCTCCTTGTCCTTTCCCACACCCTTGTACATCTCTTCAATCCAAATAATCATCCAAAGCCCTCATGAATGTCTCCATTAAACCTGCCTCCTCCAAACTTACAGGTAGTGTTAAGGTCTGTAATACTACTAGTTTAGTGAAAAAATTTCTTTTCTCAGATTACGCTTTTTTGCAAATCAATTTAACTCTGAATGCCATATCATTTTTGTTCCTTTTTACAAACAAGCACAGTTTCTCTCTAGTTACTTTATCCATCCCACTCAGAACTTGAAAACTTCTTGCAAATCTCCCCTTAATGCTTTCTCCTCAAGGAGAACAGTCCCAACTTCTTCAGTCTATCCTCCTTACAGAAATTGCTTTTTCCCGGCGCCATTTTTATACTTGCTTCTGCACTCCAATGCGTTCATATCCTTCCTGTGTTAACACTGTGTGTTAAGTGCTCTCTGTATTTGTACTGCCATCTTCAATGATTTGGTGCAAAAGTATACACCCAGGTCCCTCAGTTCCTGCACCCCTTAGGAACTGTATCATGTAAATTTGTTGAGCACTATTTCCACTTCAGAAATTCACCCTGACTCTTTCTAATCAATCAACCAACCAACCTTTTTCCATGTGACTACTAATTCTGTTCTGAATAATTACTTCTAGAAGCTATCCCACCGTTGAAGTTAAACTGACTAGCCTGTAATTGCTGGGCTTATACTTGGAACGTTCCTTGAACAATGTCGTGATTTTCAGTTCTCTCGCACCTCCCTTGAGTCTAGGCAATGTTGAAACATTGCAGTCAGTGCAATTTCCTCACAATGCCATCCACTCCTTCCTTGGTACCCATTCTGTGAACTCCACAGCTTTCACACTCCCAAACCACCGCGCGCCCCCCCCCCCAACCTGGACTCACTCAGCTCACAAAGCAATTTATGTGCACCCATATTTGCCTATCTGTGCTCTCCCAAATTTGTCTTTCCACTATCCATCCCTCCTTCCTCCCCCTCGTCCCTTCTTCCTCTTTCTCCTTCCCTTCCCTTCCCCACCCACCTCGCCCCCCACCCCCACCCTTCTCCAGTTTGTCTCTCGGTCTACTTTTCATAAATTGGCCTTTTTTTTTAAAAGAAAGGTTTAATGTAGGATGCTTGATCACTCAACAGAATCATGTGTGGCTGAGGAAGTGAAAGAGAATATTGAATATGATTTTGATCTTCCATTTGTATCTTTCTAGCATTTTTGTCTGTTCACGTTATTGCCATGCTTTGTTAGAAGTCCCTCAATGGTTTAAGTTGTTTGTTTTGAAGGAAGTACGAGTGATCCATTTTGGAACTTGCTAACATCACCACATTCCAAAATCAATCATGAGATCTCTGCACTCATAAATTGGGTATCATCTGCTGTAATGAATGAACAATATTTAGCTTTTAAACTTTATTCCTGTCTATGGTGAAACAATCTGGTGCAATAATAACTGTGGTAAAATGAGTACTAGTCATTTGTTGAGCCAGTATATTAATTGTGTAATCTATGATTAATGCAAACTTTTAAAGGTCAGGAAACTTCTAAACAGGTTTGAAAAGTAAAATCTTGAATTAACAAATTGCATTTTTCTTTTTGAAATGATTGAGACGGTTCAATCTCATTGAAAGAATGCCCACTGCAGGGAAAGTGGGAAATCCTGGAAGAACTGTGCCACCATTCAAATAAGGGAAAAGAGGGCTATAAACAAGACCTATATTTCGGCAGTATATGAACGCAAGATCTTTGATCCCTGTGTAGAAATGTTGAATGTCAATTTAATAGTTTTTTTTTTGAGTTGGAAACGTTTTTCTAAATCTATATAAAATCTGAGAAGCCTAATGATTATCTGATTTTTATGGATACACTCCAGTACGACGATCTTGTCTGGATTGTATTCATTTGTACTCATTTCATTCAGAACATGGTGTACCTCAACACAAAGGAAGTATGTAATTGTTTGTTTCCAATGTTACATTTTTACTGGTAAAAATGCCTTTTTTGTGTCTTTGTTGAGTCGATATAATGTGGTGAATTTGACAAAATAACTGGCGAATAAAAGTCATTATAACTGCACTTGGCTGACTTCTGTGCCTAATTGAGAGAGAGCGAGTGAGAAAGAGAGAATTCAGATGAGAAAGAATGTAACAAATGAGAGTGCTGGGTATCCAAATTAGTACGGTAGTATTAACAACACCCAATTTCTTCTGAGACTGGCAAGATATAGATGAAGTCTAGCATCTGATACAAGAATATCTAGAATCAGAAGGATTGCAAACGGCATTTCTCAAAACAGTAACTTTTTTTATTGACTGCGTAGCCTTAGTAAACATTGTGGAGCTTCGCACCAATTCCTCACCTCTTTTGGGCATGTCTTTTAAACCATGCATCTATTTCTTGAATAACGATTTATAGTTACAAGTTCAAGTATCTTTGAAAATAAAAGGAAAACACGTTTATTTCGGGTCCTTGTTATATTAAAATAGTAATCTTCAAATAGCAAGTCAAAGCAGAATTAGTGAAGCAGCATTAAAGCAAGCTCATGCAGCAACCAAAACCATCCAAGAAAGCAGAGTGAAGCTACCATGATCTGAAAAAATCAACAACTTTAAGCTATACTATTTAACTGAAATTTCTAAGAAGCTTCGAAAAATTACCTATTTCACAATAATACATTTGCTCTTGCTTATGAAATGCACCTATTGTGTGAGTTTGAATCGTAATTTTACATGATGCTAGAGGCTGCCTTTCTAATCTTGACTAGAGGATGATCATGTGGTCCAGAGTTAGTACTGGTTTAGAATCAGAATCGGCTGCCATGTGATATTCACTGCAGTTAACATTTGTACAGCCAAAGGTATCAAACATTCAATGTATTTCTGCTCCATGATAGATAGATAGGAAAGGTTACATGATTTAATGAACATTTTTTCTGAAGCTATACTGTCCCAAATGGCAGACTTGTTAATGTGATCATCCTAATGGAAGGATGTAACTTCATTTTGACCATAGACTTTCAGATTGAAGAATGCTTGTAAATGTCACTCTCCAAGTCAAATGAATCTAAGTGTACTGACAGGACATTACTGTCATGATATCGCCCTCCCAAGATTACATTAACAAGTCCTGCTATTTGGGACATTGTTCAGAAGAATTGTTCATTGCATCATGTAACATTTCCTATTTATCCATCATTGAACAGAAACATGTTGAATGTTTGTTACCCTTGGTTACACAAATGTTAACTACAGTGAATATCACAAGTCACTGATTTAATGTTAAACTGACCTTGTGTATATCTCTGAAGCTATTGTAAGAGATGTAATCATTATTGGCCTTGAAAAAGGCAACAAATGTTTTTGTATACTTAATGAGATTTTAAAGCCATTGTAGATAATGCCTTCATGTTTGAATATAGAGGAATTGAGTAAATTCAGAGGTGCTAGGTATTTAGGATTTCATTACTGTCTAATTCTCTATTCCTGAATTCTGGCACCTTTTGAGTGTGAATGTGTCCGATGTTAATAATCTTGGAGAATGTTTTCTTGCTCCGATATCGGGATAAAGTAATCATGCAACATTGAAGGGAAATTCTCTTCTGTTTACTTCAGCTGGTTTTGCCCTGTCTTCAGATAATGTTATATTCATCTTTGGAAGATGGCAGAGTAACAGTAGACTTTGACCAAAAATATGACGCTGTAAATGCAGCACCATACATTTTATAAAGGTTGACTTAAAAAATAATTGCTCAACAATGTCTCTTGTAGGCTCTGATAATTTTCCTACTTTAACAATAGTTTTGTGGCAGATTGTCGAAATTGAGTGAAAATGGCAAATTAGATTTTGACCTACGTGAAAAACAGGTGAATAAATACTTAAGAAGACGACCTAAACGAATTGAAATAAGAGCTTATGAAAATACATTTGACTTAATTTAAGTAGGATATCCATACTTGTTTAGCGTTTTGTCGTCCTTGCTTTAAATGAAATGACACACAACAACTGATTCATCAACAATTGTATCAAATCAAATGAAGACATTCTTTAGAAGTAAAGTTGGTTATTTATGCACTATGAAAATTGAAAAAGCCAATGCCAAGCTAAATCTTGAGTAAATAAAGATTCTTTTTTGCTGAGGAATTATTAACAAGGTTGTAAATAACTCTGAGATTTGACTGTTGAAGGATTATGCTAATTAAAGCTTTGCAATCTTTCACATTAATCACAATGACTTTATATGAATCTCTAAACTTCATGGCGATGTACTCAGAGTTAAAGTACCTCCAACAGTATCCTCTTTTGTCTTACAGGACCGGAATCGGCCCTATGATGCATTTAACTTGCACTCTTTGGAGAATTCTTTAATGGATATTATGAGGAGTGACCATGAGCCCCTCAAAGGTAAACACTACCCTCCCAGTGGCCCACCAATGACCATTGCTGATATAATGTGGAGGAATCACTTTGCAGGTTAGGAATATTCCTACATCCCTATACACTTGGTATAGATTCTAACTTTACCTGAATTTTTTATACTGTACAATTTTGGTTGATTGTTCATAGAAGTTTAGGAAATGATTTGTGGTTGTTTCACTTACAAAACATTTCACATTTTTAACAGCAAGGATTTGAGAAAATCTTTAAGAAAATATATATGACTGACTAAGAAGTTAATGTTCATATGTTTCTTATTCAATAGATTTTTTAATTGCTAAAATGCCTGTTCATGAGCTAGTGTGAAATTCCATTGCTTTTATTATTTTGTATTTTCATTAACAAAAGTTATTGAACTGTTACAATTGTACAAGGTTCTTCCTTTCCTCCTCACACTTTTATTTTCAGGATTTTGGTTGATATGCTCAGCAGGAAAGGAATGAGTTAAACTGATATTACTTTTCTTTTTAATCTTCCAAATGCATTTGAAACAATTTTGCTTATAGGACAATTTTTTTTTTTTTAGGAGCAATCGTATTTTATCTGCATGATTTCTAGTTTCCATTATGATTTTTACTTTGGTTTTTCTTTGCTTTATAGTCATATTAATATATATTTCTTGGGAGTTAAATTCCACAATATTTTCTCTTGCATTCCAGTGGTAGAATACTATAGCCCGTTCTTGGCTGTAAAATAACCTTGGGACATCCTGAGATCATCAAAGGCATTGTACAATAAAATCATGATTAGTCATGTTAAGTAGATCTTCGAGATAGGTAAGGAAGCCCTTATGTAACCTGTTCTGTTTTCAAAAGAGCTCTTCAAACAAAAACAAATGAAAACAGTTCAGTAAATGTGTAAAAACTGTTTTGATGTTTCAATTTGTTAACACCTTACAATGCTCTGACCTTGTACAGTAATAGGCATTGATAAACATGAGGAGTTAGTATTAGAGAAACTGAGATTTTTCTCTGCTTAGCATGCTGTCTTCAGTTGAGTCCATCGCGTTTCACTGCAGTGACAACATGTTTACCAGATTGTCGTGGCACAGTACAAAATTTTGGTGCACCTTTTTACAGCTTCTGTGGCTTCTGCTAGAGAAACAAATGGCATTCGATAGACTCTTGAGGGGCAATGGGGTGATATTCTTCCTTTGCTTCTGTTTATGTATTGACTCCATTGTCCTAATACTGGTCTCAAAAATACAGAACCATCCAGGTATTTTGTTACCCTGTAGTAGATAGGTAGTCTGTTGACATTTGCAAAGCAATTTGACTGCTTGAAATTTCCGATCTCAAGAAGTGGTAGTTTTTTGATGCCATCCATGTTGGCTCCGATTTACGGCAGTGATATAATTCTTGCTTTGTTTTCTGCCATTACATGTTTCACCTTGAAACATTAAACAGTGACCTGATGAAAGGTAGTATAACAGTACGGCTTCATCTGTGTTAAAAATATCTCCTGAATCATTATGCACCAAGAGACTGTTTTGCAGTCTTGTCTGTGACTTTGCACTTTAGTATGACCTAACCTGGCTCTGATTAGTTGGCATGGTCATATAAGTGTGCATGAGTTTGGCTAAACCAAAGTTACTGTTTCAGAACCTCGGCTTATCATAGGCAGCCTTCTGTTGACTTTTCTATTCTGCCAGCGGGAATGGCTAACAACTTCTCCACTACTGTCATTGTAGATTATCTGAATTTTATGCATCACTATTCTAATGAATGGGTACTGAGGCTTTTTCTTCTGTTTTCTTGCTTTCTTTTTTGGTTGCTTGCTTCTGTGCTCACTTGCACTCTACAAATATATTTGGTTTCAAGATTTAGGAAAACCACAGTTTGCATTTGAACTTCTATTCCAGATGATAACCTTCTGGAAAATTGTCCGAATGTAATTGTGTGTGGCATGCCACACTTCACAGTAAAATAGCCTTTGATTTGGCAATTACTGCATTATATAATCATTAGCACCGCACTATCATATCTTTTACTGGTGGAGTCAATCTCTTGCCCAGATTGCAAGCATTCAAGTCTGAAAATCATGATGAATTTCAGTATTTGGAGGAATGTGCTTTAAAGGTAGACAAAAACTAGAGGTGAATTGTTTTCAGTTTGGTAAAAAGGAGATGAATGAATAAGACCTAGCATATATATTAGTACTTCCTGAAGGTAAAATTCTGGCTGTATAAAATTGGATATATTATTGCCAGTTATTAAAAGAATAAAACAAGGTTAAGTCAATTAATCTAGAGTAATAGTATCACAGTGAAAATTGGCTTGAGTGCAGTTCTAACTCTTAACCTTACTACAGACACATTCTGAGGCTCCTTTTGAGAAGAAAAGGTAGTTGATAATTGCTGTTGAAAGAACTTTTGCACTACGGTAAGCATTGCTCATTCTCAGGTGACCTAATATATGGAGCACTGAATAGAAGTGAATCGTAACTATTCTAGAGCTTGCAGGTGACAGTGCATTGCTTACCTCAGTTGGCAATATGTGGCTGTTTCTTCAGCGTCACTGAGTCAAAATCCCGGAACTCCCTCTCAAATGACATTGTGGGTCAATCTGCGCCAAATGGACTGCATTAGTTTAAGAAGGCAGCTCTTTGTTGATCATCACCTAAAGAGCAACTAGGGGTGGGCAATAATTGCTGGCCCAACCAGCAACAGCAAGTCCCCTGAGTGAATTAAAAGTTGTATCTTCCATTATTTGTACTGCTGTGACAATGTGTCGAAGTCTGTTGATTGAAACAGCCCAGCTCTTTTAGTTTGTAATTCTTGAAACTGGAGTTAGAAGTTACCATGCTTAAACCTGGCTAGGGAATTGCATTTAATTTGAATGGAAGTTATGTTGCATATTTTTAAGGAAGGGTTACTCAACCCAAAACACTAACTCTCTGATTTCTTTCTACAGATGCTGCCAGACCTTCTGAGCTTTTCCCACAGTTTCTGTTTTTGTTTCTGATTTTAAGCATCCGCAGTTCTTTCGGTTTTTAGTTATGTTGCATGTTTGAATCCAGTCTTGAGACCATGCCTAATTGGTAGGAGCTATGAATTGTTAGGAAAGGATTCAATTGCTTAAATTACACTGATTTGAAAAAACATTTTTATCTGTTAGATACAATAAATCATGGATATTTTTACTTTCAAAGTATCTAGCTGCAAGTTTCATCCATTTGTGTAACTGTGGGCTTTGACTTTTCTTGTAGTTTCCTGAGTGGTCACTTGAATTCCAATTGATTTCACTATGCATGACATATCCTATGTTCATTGTTACCGCTCCCGCCTCTCCACCCCGCCCCAACACCACCACCACCATCTTCGCTCCTCTTCAGTGCTGTCCTGATTTTTATAAGAGTCCAATTCAAACTTTAAAAGAATATGTTACTGAAGGCTGTATGTCCTATCTCTGTCCTGCTTCATCATGTTCTGTAGCTGTAGCCCTTCACCTCATTGATAGCTGATTATTTATCTGTTATACCCTTGCATTTCCGATTTGGTTGGCTAACCCTGTGAGTTATACTGCAACTGTACTATGCTTCAAAAAGTATAGTGAAGAAACCTTGCCTTTTTATAGTGCCTTTCACAATCTCTGCATTCCTAAGTGCTTTACAGCTATTGATTGTAAAACCAAGTGTAGTTACCATTGGAATGAAAAAAAATGTAAGAGTCAATTTTCATACAGCAAGGTCCATAACCAACATTGGAGTGACAACGGGATCATTCATTATAGTGATGTTGATTTAAAGCCTGATTTTTAGCCAGGATACTCAGGACTTCTTCTTTGAATAGTGCTGGGATCTTTTGAGAGGGAAGATTGGACCATGTTTCGTTATCTGAAAGATGATGCTGTTAACCATGCAATGCAGCACACCCTCGATACTGCCCTGAAGTGTCAGCCTAGATTATGTACTTGAATCTCTTGAATAGGATTTTGAAGCCACAATTTTCTGACTGATGCAAGCAGTCTCCTACTGAGATTGGTCCTTTTTTGTTCACATATGGTATGGTCTCATGGAGGGTAGGGTTTGAACCTGCACACTTTGAGTCAAAGAGAGAAAGAGAAGTTTGCATTTTGTAGTCAGTGGTGCTGTAAGGGCATGAGCTACTGACCTTGAAGATGGCTGCTCACCAATATCTCACAGGCATGGAGTCCACCCTTCCAATTGTTAGCTTCATTTTGGTGCCAGCTGGAAGGGATATTGGGTATCCTGCAATAGCGATGCCATCAAGCAGGCTCAACAGCCAAATACATCGAAGAATTCTCACTCTCACATTTGGCAATTCAAAACGATAGACTGGTTTGACCATTCTCTTGTTTTAAATTTACAGAAAATTAAAAGTACATATGAGATGAATGTTATTGTTGAGGAATTGCAGTTACCTATCCTCACTGATTTGCGTCCTGTGGGTCAGAAAGCTGAGGATCCAGTTGCAGAGGGTGGAGCCGAGATCAAGGTCATGGAGTTTTAAGATCAGTCCAGAAGGGATAATAGTGTTGAAGGTGGAGCTGTAGTCAGAGCAGGAGTCTGATGTTGGTGTCTTTGATGTCCAGATGTTCCAGGGATGAGTGCAGGGCTAGGGATATGGCATCTGCTGTGGACCTGTTACCTCGGTATGCAAATTGTGGGGAATTGAGGCGGGTTCGGTCACTGGAGTTGATGTAGGTCATGACCAGCCTCTCAAAGCACCTCATGATTATTGAGGTCAGAGCTACAGGGTGGTAGTCATTAAAGCACACTGCATGTGCTTTCTTAGGTACTGGGATGATGGTGATCTTTTTGAAGCAGGTGGGGACTTCAGCTTGTAGGATGGAGAGGTTGAAGTTGTCGGTGAATACCTCCGCCAGTTGGTCCGCACAGGACCTGAGTGCTTGGCCGGGACACCATCCGGGCCGCTCCCTTTCCTTGGGTTGACTCCCAGGAAGACCAATTTGATGTCTGAAGCAGTGATAGAGGGAACAGGTGTGTTCGCGGCTGTTGGGGCCGTCATGACTGTGCCGCTGGCATTCCACTCAAACTGAGCATAGAAAGCGTTT